TTATGAGTACCCTCATGATTACACTGGGCTTTACCTGGTAATCCAGCATAATCTCCCCTCTCAAAATCCTTGATCACACACCGTTCTCAAAATCCCTGACCACAATCCCTTTACTATGTAAAGTAACATCTTTACAGGTTCCAGGTATTAGGATGTGGGCATCTTTGAAGGGCCATTATGCTGTCTACCACACCGATGTAAGCAATAAACTCAACTGTATCTTAGAAATAGTTTGTTCTGCTAATGTTTCAGGCAGCTAGCATTTGACACAAATACTAAGTAGAGAAACTGTAAGAAGCACGTCTATCCCAGATTTAAGATAAATGAGTACTCAGCTGAGGCCCATGTGTTTGACAAAATCTTGTCCTTTATTTTTATGATTGTTCATCACGTACCTACTGCCAGCTATTGATGAGACACACCTGCACTGGAGATTGGGACATAGCCTCGTACCCCTGAGAGAACAAGGTGACTGACTAATTGCACATACACAAACACACACACAACAGAGGGGCCTAGGCAACCAGCTAAGTATGAGAGCTGAAGAGATTCAGAGCTGATGGCTTTCCTAGGCTGAGATGGCCCATGCCCACTCAACCTCATGTTCCATGACCACACAGTTCTATAGTGAAGAGAGACTGGGACATAGGAAGCTGCAGATCTACACTGAGCCCTTTTTGTGCATGCTGTGTTGTTGCCTTCCCTGTAAACTCTCTTAAGAATGAGCATGTTTGCTTCTGGGTAAAGCCAAGTCTTGCGTGTTTGATTGCCAGTCTAAACCCAACACCACTGCTGCTCATGAAGCAGAATGGGGCTTGCAATAAAGATTAGGCTTTAAAAGTGTATGTTGTGTGTGTGTGTGTCTGTGTGTCTGAGTGTGTCTGTATGTATGTACATGTCTGTGTGTGTCTGTGTGTCTGTGTCTGTATGTGTCCGTGTGTGTCTGTGTGAAAATATACCTCTAGTGCATATACTACACATAAAAAAATTCTTGGCTCATACTTCCTTCTGCAACACTACATGCCAGAGGAAATGGAAAAATTTAGTATGTACGTGTCTGTGTGTCTGTGTCTGTGTGTCTGAGTGTGTCTGTATGTATGTACATGTCTGTGTGTGTCTGTGTGTCTGTGTCTGTATGTGTCCGTGTGTGTCTGTGTGAAAATA